AACCACGCCTTCTTCCAATATAACGCTATTTTGAATTCCATCTAATGCCTTCTCTGTATAATATATCCATTAGGAACTAATGATGATAGCGGAATAAAACTTTACTCAAATRCGGTATTTGATGCGAGAGTATAAAATGTTCGGTGACACCCGARCTTAGCCCTTCATTACTTATTTCACCTAAAGGTTTTACGTATCACCTAAAACTAGGCGATATTCTTATAGGGTTATATGCTTGTATATATATATATTTATCAGGATGAAGAGAAAAGTTGGAATTCCCTCGGTCCGAGCAAGGTGTAGCTTGTGTAAAAATTGAGATATCTGGGTATGTGGGCTCCTTAGAACAAAAAAAAAGTTACGAGTTCGTAGATGGGCGCAATCGAACCACTACCACGCCCACAAACGATTAATATCCATTAATCAAAAAACTGTTACATTCCATAACTCAGGACTCGGTTAAGATACGGAACTGTTATATCACACAGTAGATCGTTTAATGTACATGTATATATCCTAAACCCCCAAATTTAACCAACTCAAATATTATGAGAATCTCTACCAACAGTGTCAAAAATGATGAAATCGAAAGACAGCCCCGCTCACTCTCCATACAACGGTACAGTTAAAAACTGCTAAAGGTGCAATAAATCAGTAACTTCTTGAAAATACTTCAGAGACATACAATTTTTTACCGAGTTAGTTTGTGAGGGCCTTATGAGAGCCAGTGTGAAAATTGAACATGGCACCGCAAAATTTTTGATGAAATCATTTATCTCGGAATGCACTCTACCGAATTCGATTAAATTTAATAGGTGGCATTCTTCTTATGTATTTATGTCACGAAATAGGACTACAACCACGTCGACCTCCCGTATAACACAATTTTAATCTACTCATTCGCTTACCAGTACCCAATTAATTTAGATYCCRATCCCCTGGTTGACGTTTTYCATCTTGTGCTATTTGTCTGGTTTTKATTCCTGCAAGTTGCAAGAGTACAAAATAATAGGTTAAACCCGAACTTAGCCTTTGCATACTCGTCGTATATACAAGTTACTTTTCTACAGAAAACTTAAAGGGTGATCCATTTCGAGTTTCCCTAATTAAAAAAAGAAAAGCACAGAAACTTCAAATTCAATTTAGAATGTTTACTATCATTCGAAAAAACATTATTTGGCATTTATAATTTGAAGATTATCTCTTTATCTGATGACTCATCATTGCGATTGGTAACTGGCGAATGACACGCGTGAACTTGATCGATTTTTCCACCGGCCCACAAACCACACCAATTCCCAAATGCGGCAATTTTGCTTGTTTACATAAAATGGCGTCGTCTTGTTTAATATTCAAGCAATTGCTAATAAAAAGGCTACATCACCAATTAGATAGGGCAGCATTATAAGATTTAACATTTTGAAAATAAATTACTAAACAGTAAGATACCAGCCCTAACCCACCTCATCCTAATAAAATTAGRACTAATAATTAATAAGCGGCATCAGTTCCTRCACAAGATGTATTWWTTACACTTTCAATTTAWGAAATCGACGTAAAATACGCTAAATCATTCCTTACGTCAGTCAGAGTTGCTGCGAACGGCGCCGAATCGACTCTTCACGGTTGTCGTGTACACTCTCAAATTACAAATGTGTACTTAGATTTTAATAATAATATACAGAAATTAGAATTTGTTCCAGTTTTCAAAAATATTTGTTTGAACTCTTCCTCGTAATGAAAAACAATGAGGAAATATATTTCAGTATTTCTTTTCTCACCAATTTCARAATAATGTTACTTAATAAGTTTTATAATGTAGAATGTGCACCGAAGGTCCGTAGGAGTTACCCGTATAACTTGTAAAGCTGACTTTTGYCAAAATTGCTAACATACAGCCCCATTTACTGCAAAGGGTGGAAGACTATTGGTCCTCTAGGCTGGAATTTAGCCTGCAGTGGCGGTGACTGAAATCATTTTTAAAACGAAATTGCAAATACTCATCTTCATAATAGAGCTAAACTCTTGGTCATATATTTTAATTATATGCGATTTATTTCTTCTTGAAAATCACATGTTTAAAAAGGCACCCTGGAAATCCAAATTGCAGTCGGGTGTGAACTTTCGTTGTCAATTCAAGATTATTAAGATTTTAATTTAACTTTTRTTCGGAATGTTTTCCTCCACGACTTCCTTTAAAAAACCGACTCGGAAGTAACTAAAGTCTTGTATTACTTTTACTGACAACATTCCTCAAATGTGTATTGAATAATCGCACCATGAGTGAAAATAGCCTACATATAAATTTCTTACTGGATTTAGTGGAGATAGTAATTACGAACTACTTATATTTTCTATTCCGTTGCAGTGCTCTGACTGGCGCTCAGCACACTTTGTTGGGTATCTCGTATTCAAAGCATTAATGACTGATTAATTCTCGAATCATTATTGATACTTCAGACACATATCTACCCGTAGATACTAGCATAAACAATGCTTCTGTGGGTYTCTGCATGTCGAAAATAAAAGGTGATCAACTCAATAATAATAATAAAAAATTCTTTTTCACAAATTATGAGCATTTTTCAACACCTTTATGGACCGAAAAATAAATCTCTTCGCTTTTCAAACGATATAATGATGAATATGATGAGTAATTACCTCATTTATATGCAAATATACATAAATATTCCGCTACTGTAGGGTTCTGCTTTCTTTCAGACAATATACATATGTTTTTGTACTATAAATTTCAGATATACATATACATATATGTAAAGTGGATTTTCACAGAAAATGTTGCCAATAATAATTTTACGAATTCTTTCTTGGTTAATTCAACTTAATTTGGGATTAGATAAATTTCGAATGTGAATATAAATAATTCCAACACTGAGGATATAGTGAGCGGAATTTAATGTGGCGGCGAGTGAAGCGGTGCCGATTTAATGGTGTAAGTGGATATTTTGCACGTTTTACTTTTGTTTTAACAACATTTATTCGAAACAATTTTTATGACTTGTTTACTATTGCATAGACATATACAWGTGTATATATGTATGGTATACGAAAAGTATTTATTTGAATTTGTACATATGCTTGTATATATGTTAAACAAAGTAATATCGCATTTAAAGTTTATGGGGCAGTTCAGAGATTTATAACAATTGTGCCTATTTTCCCCGCTGTGGTAATAATTTTCGTATTCGTATTCTAAAGGGTTAACTACATGAGTTATTTGTAAAAAAAAACTTGTTTAATTATACTGTTAGA